CAAACACCCAGAGAAAGAGATTAACAGACATAAACTCAAGGTAAGTTCCTGTTACTTATAAGACTGAACCTTTTACTGTCAATATTAAAGTTAGAATAAATAGAATAACACAAATACAGCAACGTGTTTTGTTTTGATACCAATATGTAAGTTCTAAACATTGAAAATCAATAAAATTATATTGGGCCCATATAGACAAACAATCCTCTAAGCTTTTAGTTTTTATAGTTCTTTAGTCTTAATTGCTATAGTCCGCACACAATTAAAGCATTTTGCCACACCACAGAATTCAGTTTTAATTCTAAATAAACATTTCAAATGAAATAAATATGTAGCCATTTTTACATGACTGGACTTCAATACATTTCAAAATTATACATAAGAACGTTGACTGTCTCCCTCTCAGAACATAATTACATCTTTACCTAATGTTCATGCTTTCCAATTCTTTATACAACTACTGACAAATGCCGGCAAGTTTCTCACTTCTTTATATTCGTCTGCTTTGTGTGCCATTAGGCAAACCACTGGCATTTGTAACGTCAGTAGCATAAAGCAGAATGATTTTCTTCAATCGTAACCTCAGAAAAGCTTAGATTAATACTGACACTCTTTGATGGCTCCGACATTTTTTTCTTCTTTATAAATGGCTGAATAAATGATGTGTTTAAAGTAATTGAAATACACAGGAAAGTTTTTTTTCTTCTGGTGAAGTTCCTCATCCTTACATCACATTTAAAGAACTGAAAAACCAGTCTACTCTCAGTACAAAATTGGCCCTCATGTCAGTACGACACACAGAAGATCTCCAGTTAAAGGTGAGTGACAACAACATAACCTAAATTGTATTTTCTTTATTTGGCTTGATTTATATTATGCAGGTAATTAACTGATATCATAGTCAAAACCTTTTTCCAGTATGATGTAAAAGTCATTACATACCATAAACCTTAGAGATAAAACACATTAATCGATAGGAGAGAGTGACCCTTAAAAAATCACTAGATTGCTGATTGACTGCATGAAAATTATTTTTCTCCTAATCCCATCATTATTACAACTTTTGTGTCCAAGATTTTCACCACAGATAAAGTTTGAAGCAAACGTGTAACTTTGATACGACCAAATTGAAGATGGTTCTTCTCATGTTTATTTAACATGGAAAGAATTCAATCTAATGTCTACTTTACAGGTTTTGCTTTAAAATTTGAAACAATTCCGCATAGTATTAAGGGGAATTTAGTTTTTTTAATAAGTCCTCGCAATTAGAAAAGTTGTTCAGGCTCCTTCTAGCTTGAACCAATAGACGCTGTTAAGATCATCTCTCACACTCAATCATGCATATGAAAATTAGTTGTGTGAAATCTCTCCCTTTAGTTAAATGATTTTTTATTTGTATCGATCTTTCTGTGGGATTTGCTGATCCCTAAATATTACAAAACATCCATCCATCCATTATTGTTGCCGCTTATTCCTTAATGGGGTCGTGGGGAGAACTGGAGCCTAACCCAGTGGTCAACGGGCGAGAGGCAGGGTACACCCTGGACAGTCCATCGCAGAGCCACACAAAAGACATACAAGGACAAACAACCACACACACTCACATTCATCTGTGAACTTATGATATGGAATCTTTGCCTAACAGTCAGGCCGATAACTTTCCTTTGCCATTTTTCATCTTCAAATAAAGGTACCACAAACCGAAGACTTCATATCTGATCCTAAAAGTGGTCAACTGGAATTTGGATGACATGAGAGCAATTCAGTGAAAAAAAGAATAATTTGCACACAGTTTTTGGAGCAATAGCAAGCAAAGTAAAAAAAATAATCAAATCCTGAACACGCAAATTTGAAGGTCACTACTTCACTATGATGAAGTAGTGACCTTTCCAGAGTACAACGGGCATGAAAGATTTGTGAATGAATGATAGATTGAAGTAATGTGAAGGGTCAGAAAACAGGATGACATCACTGCATTCCTGAAATTATTTCAATAATTCTGTAAATACACCCCAATATGTTTTTATGATAAATGTGTAGCATAAAGATTGAAGGAGAAAAGAAAACATTGACTTCAGCTCAAGAGTTATAACTTGTATTTGTTTTCCCATTCAACTTCCTTTCCTTTATTTTATCTTTACAGACAATGATCAGCCTGCTCATCACAGTTTCGGTCGCAACCGATCTGGTTAAAGGTACATTTTTAATTCATTCAGTAAATTTTTACCCAATTCAAACCTGTCACATGTGAGACTGTTTGATAAAGGATGGGTTGGTCATCATCATCATCAATAAGCTCTTCATCACAATTCAGATCTAAAACCAACAAGGACAACCCAACTTTTGCCAAATGTAACCTTTACAGTCGTAGAACAGTTTCTGTTCAGTTGAGATTGATAAATATTAGAATTTGAATTGATCATATAATCTTGGCTGACTTAATTTTTTTTTTTCCCTTAACAAAAGAATGGCACTGTTCATAGTGAGACGTATTTTTTCTCATCCCCCTTCCCTCTCTTCTCTCTCAGGAGTTTTGGAATGCAATTTAACCAAACCTACTGAAACCCAGCAGTGTGTCGGAGCACTTGGGGAGCCACTGATTCTTCACCTGCCAGTTAATGAAACTATAAAAACAAAGCTGATAAAGGGTAGTCAATTATCAATCAAGTTGAATTGCAGTACACAAAAAGATATGAACGCAGAAACAGTCAGGTCAAGGAATCCATTCACAAAACTCGATAATGGAACATTGAGGATTGATCAGACAACAAAGAACGACGCCGGGGTTTATCACCTTGAAGTACATTCAGCTTTCGATGGCAAGTTTCTACAGAAAACCAACATCAGCCTCAAAATACTGGGTAATTTCATGTGTTTTCTTTCAGAATGCTTCCATGAAAAGTTTAGAAAGTAGTATATTTTGGACATAGTTTATTTATCAAAAATGATTCTGCACTGCAGTAAAACCTTACAAATTCAGAAGTCCAGAAATGTATATTTTCTTCATAGTTATCTTTATTAAAAGAATCAGAGAATTACCAAAGAAAGTGAATATTGCTTTTAGGAGTCACAGCTAACATGTAACTTTGTGTGTGTACTTCCAGCTGCAGTGACACAACCAGCTGTGTCTCACAGGTGTTTGTCAGCAGAACAGATGACCGTCAGCTGCTCAGCTGAGGGAGATGAAGTGGACTTCACTTTGTCTTTGGACAACAACATACTGATACACAGCAGACCAGACAGCACAGAGAGCCAAAACCTTACTAAGATAACAATTACGCTACACGGTCAACTTGTAGGAAAGCTGGTGTGTGATGTTCAGAACAACGTCAGCAGGAAGCAGACAGACGTCCAGGTGACAGGCTGTACGTTTAAATATACTTATCAACTACATGTTGTTTAACAAGCTCTGTTTTAACATTTATATCTCATTTTATTGAATTTTGATATTTTTGTAGGTTCCCATAATTACAACTGGCGTGTCACTTTGGCTGTGAAATCAAGTCTGATTGCATTATTTCTTCTTGCTGT